CGTCTGACGGATGATCCTTGGAGGAGCGAACTGCGCGAGTCGCTTGGTGTGTCAAGTGCAAAAGTGCTACTAGGAGCAAGGACGCTACTAGGGGCTCCTGGCCTCGCTACTAGTAGCAAGAAGCTACTAGGGGCTCCTGGCCTGACTACTAGGATCAAGGACGCTACTACGTGTCTGATGATGATGATGATGATGATGATCATCATCATCATCATCATCCTCATCATGAAAGCATGTGGTGCAAGGCGGAATACGAGGCAAATATGGTCAAAACCAAGAATCCTAGGCGAAGTGGTGAAACAAGTTCCCAGCATATGGGTGAGGAATGTGCCATCCCTGACTCACCTTGTCCTCAATCCCTGACATTGCAGTAGATTGGCCATAAACAGCATTTCTTTTCAAAGAACCCCTGATACTGATTGAGCTCGGCACAGAATTCCATTTTGCTACAAGTCCTGCAAGGAAGAGGCATGTGAAAGAATTCCATTGTAGTGTAGGTGCCTCCAGTTAAGGCACCAAACACAAAACATGTCACACCTGTCACACCACACCCGACAGTTCTGTGGTCTCGCAGCTATCTTCCTTCAAAGTGATAGTTTCTTCTACAAGTCTAAAGGCTGAACAAGTCTTGAACAAGTCAGAAATTGTTCGCCAGTCTCGACGTCTTCCTGCTCGTGCTCTGACCTGCTGCAGCTACACGTTGTGCCAAAACCCACTACTTGGACGCGCCACTTCACACGTCCACCCAGGTCCTCCTTCCATAAGCTCAGAAATCCTGGGGCGTGCACCAATTGAAAAGAACTTCATCATTAACTAATCATCTTGGAAAGAAGATCATCCCGGGGAATTTGGGAGATCGCCTCAATGTGCACTGGAAGGGCTTATCATGTGATTGTTTGATTCGCAAAGCTCGTCTGGTCTGGCACTGCAGACAGCAACTGACACAACGTGTCATGAAAAGCGTGCTGATTTCTTGGCTTCCGTTGCTTTGTATCCCCAAAGTCAACCCTCCAAGAAGTTTCCCATCCCCGATGGCGCTGGCGCTGTCTCCCGGCTCGAGGACCACAACATGTGACGAGGTACACGGCCCCAATGGATGTCTCTTGGTAGTCCAGCTTCATGCCCAACCTTGTTTCAGCAAAGGTGTCAGACAGGTCAACCACCATGGGGACAAACATTTCACACTTGAGGAGGGTGAGAACTTCGCGACAAACAAATTCAAACATTTAGGGGGCACTCTTTACATAGCATGGATCACTGAACATCTGACCAAACATCGTCCTCTCAGCCCAAAATCACCAGAAGGGACATGAAAGTTTGATTGGTCGGGGCACGGTAAGACCCATCCCTGGTGAGATTTACAATCATCTAAATACATGTGGGGTCGTCTCAAAGCAGCGAGTTTTGAAAGAAAACATTGCAGTACAATACAGCACAATGAAAAACACAGAAATAGATCGAAAACTCACCATGGGTGAAAATGAGCGAGTGCTAAAAACTCTGTTTACACAACCGGTTTTCCGTGTTTAGGCATCGCTTTTGGTAGTTTGCCATATGACTTTACAATATTGAATTGACATAGCAACCCTTCCTTCTCCCGCATCTTGTGAATTCTTAGGTATCGCAGTATCGCTACAGCAAACAAGGTCTGAATCTGAATCAATTGATCCAGGTGGATCTGTTTGGGTATCGCTTTTGGTCGTGGACTATAATGCTTTACATGGTCTGTGTTCATGACTTCTATGCAAAACTCTGACAGCTACTAGGAGAAAGAAGCTGCTAGAGGCTCCTGGCCTTACTACTAGGAGCAAGGGTGCTACTAGGGGCTCCTGGCATCACTACTAGGAGCAAAACTCTCACCATTGATGGAATGGTCTGATCCAGAATCCAGCCCTGGGCTGCCTGGGCTCCACCAGTCCATGGCCGACGTGCGTCCATGCAATCCCTGAGTTTCCGCACGCACCCGGCTTGGAGAGGGACACTTTGACCTCTCTCGGCCGCTTCACGACCAGCTTGACTTGATCGGGCAAGGGGCCGTTCCTGGGGCAAGTCAAGCGGGATCAATTGTTTGGGAACTCTCAAGGTCATTCAAGGTCCAGGTTCTTCTCGTCATGTCCTCTGGGTCAAGGAAAACGATGAAAAAGAATGTTAAAGGATCCTGCAAGTTCAAAGGGGAAAAAAACTCTAAAACAACTACTATTCATTGATCCAGCGTCAGCTTCGACAGCACTGCCGCATGCTGGCTTTCATCATCGATTGAGGCGATGACATCGTTCGGCCGAATGGCCTGAAGTGTCAAAGATCGCAGAATCGTGAAATTTGATGCCCATGAAATGGGTTGTTCCGAAAGAGTGATGAAGAGTCCATACATCAGAAGGGGCAACTGAAGATTCTTGGTCGAAAGCAACACATGACATAATATGACATAATTACCCAAATTACGTTGACAAACCAATCGTCCCACATGCTGGGACCGTATCAAAATGAGTAAACCATGCGACTTGGGAGGTATATCACATGCAAAATGACTAACACATAGACTAACGAACACCCACACAGCCTTCGTGGCAAACATCCAATGGACTGGACTCAGGTCTTCTCTTGAGGGGCACTCATTTTGCACCCATGTCCTGCTTGTCCTTGGGTCCATTTAAGGTCCCGATTCCTTCCCGCGCCAGGCCCTGCCTGCTTGGGATGGAGCTGATTGAATTTGGGCACTGCGCCGGTGCTTTGCACGTCCAGCACCATGGGCCCCGCCGCCTCGCTGGCCGAATCCCACATCAAGCCCAACGTGGCATGGGCCTGAGGGATGCCGAAGCATGTGAAACGAGTATCAATGGACGGAGCACCAAGGTCTGGTCGAGTCACAGAGCGGTCATGGTGGGGAGGGAATGAGCAAAACATCCTCTTTCTATTGTGGTAGAAAGGAGCAATTACTTACGTCATCTTACGTTCAAACATCTAGCTCCACTTGGAATGGCAGGGTTCCTTCCTCTTATTTGGCAACGGTCAAACCTGGAGGAGTTCCGTTCAATTGTTTGATTGCATGCTAAGGGCCTAATCTGGCGGCTGGATTTGAAGCATCATTAGATTCAGCGCGAAGTCTCAGGAACACATACTATTGGATTCCGCGGACCCTGCATACGAAACCTTCAAAACAGTCACGGAAGTGAAAAAAAAACACCTGTTTGTATAGAGGAAAATGGTCATCCAAGGGGCCATGTTGCACGTCCAGGATTGTTTCAGGGAGTGTAGTTTGTTTCGCGGGTTGAATCATGCAACCCATTGACAACCGTTTCAGAGGAATGCTTCATGTTCATGTCCGCCCACCTGTGTGGGAATGACCACCGTGAAGCTTCCGAAGCTTGGTGCTGCTGGTCCCTTGGAAGCCAGGCTGACAGGTCTTCAGAAGGCTCGTGCTATAACATCCTCAAAAAACACCTTGGATTACCTTTGTTAGAAGAGATCAGCTGAATTAGGTCAACAGCCTTGACCATCCTAACACGGACTTTGCCAAGGTGTTCGAAGATATGATCCTTAAGATCCAGAGATTTGTTCAGACACATCACAGAAATTGTAAGAGACTGATGCTCGTGTCCCCGAACTAAAGCAACAAAAATAACCTGAAGTTTAGGCTCTTCGTGTTCAGTAGACCACAAAATGGTCCGCAGAAGGAGGCTGCACTGCACTGAAGGAGGCTAAATTTAGTTATTCCGTGTGCAAGGAAGACATGTTCAGCCAGTCTACTGAAAGAATCAATGTTGGATGATGTTGGGCTTGGCCTTACTGGGCCCGAGGGCCATGTACCAACCAACCCACCTTTCATAAATGGCACAACTCTTCTGAATGATTTCCACAATTCCACACAACTGTTCCTAAGTGTGATTGTTTCCTTTTCTTCTCGCGACCCAGGAGATCACATCCGGACTCCGACTGCTGGACCAACCTCGCGCCCCACCGAGCCTCGCTTTCCAGCTGGTCATCCTGATCGATCGGCGACCGGGGAGGATGGAGCCGGGAAGAGCCACAATAACAAGGCCCGAAACAGCATGGGTGAATCTATGCGTCCAAAACAGAGCAACAGCCTACATGTTTGACAGCATGACTTGGGGGTGGCATCAGCCTCTTTGTCTGTGAGAGGTAAAAGCTATTTCTAAATTTTCCAAAACTAATACTAAATTCTGGGTGATATGTGGAACTAATACTAAATTCCTGGGTGCTAATACTAAATTCCTGGGTGGGACTAATACTAAATTCCTGGGTGCTAATACTAAATTCCTGGATGATATTGTGGAGCTGATACTGAATTCCTAGGTGCTAATACTAAATTCCTGGGTGCTAATACTAATTTCCCTGGGGTTAATACTAGATTTGCATAGCTTCATGGAAGCATTTGTGGAGCTATTCAGTTATTTGCGCAGTCTAGTCAATAACCCACAGCACATATGACACATGTTGTGTGGCAAATCTGCCAAGTCTCAGTCCTGTTGAGAACATTGCAGTGTGGTAGGTGTACAAGTTTTTGACCCTATGACAGGCCATATAGAGAACATCGAGTAACAAAACAAAAATAGGGGTGCAAAGTAGATAGCAAATCCTTGAACCTTTTAGTTGTGTCCTCTTTTCCGCCCCTTCTGACTTCCCCCAACCACAGCACCACCCAGTGCCTTGACAAACGCACTCAAAACATTTCTCGCTGGCAACACAGAGTCGTGACAGTTTGTCATCCATCATTTGGATATCTAAATATCAACGCACTCACTGGCCTGAATCCAAGCCCTCAGTGGAAAACAAACAATATAGCATTATGAGGATTTGACTCATGACCTGTGAAACAAACACTTGTCAGCTGACAGAGACCAACACTTGAACAGTTATCAAGATACTTGGGCAAGGACATCCTATGCCAGAAGCATTGATTGACCCCACATTTGAACCCTCTAGCCCTTCCTAGAGGTCACACTGAGATTGCTCAAAACTCGAAATCCATGGTCAGTGGATCAGTTCTTCTTCCTCTTCCTGGTGTCAGGAGCTGAGCGACGCTGTTTGGTCGCCTTGCCATCCTCTCCCTCCTCCTGCTTTTGTTCCTTCTTGCGCTTTGGTGCTGGCTTAGCCTTGGCATCAGCTTGCATCTTGTTGGGGTCTCCAGTCTCAAGGAGATTGTCCAATCTCTTTCTGACCTCTGCTGGCAAGTCTTGCCGAGAAACTCCGACACTGGCATTTTCCTGCATAATCCTGGCATGGGTTGGCTTCAGGTCCGTGGACTGAAGATCAGCATGGTTGAGCACCAGGTCAACAGCTTGCACATAGGAAACATAGAGCGCCAAGGTCTTTCGGAAGTCCTGACATGATCCCAGTTCCAAAACAATATCAGACTATTCTGAATATAGGACTAGGGACTATCGATATCAAAGAAAAATGAAAACAAAGCAAGTCTGAAAACACACCATCTTTAAAAATCAAAAGTACAGTGCACAGTGGCAATCCAACCGTTCAAAATTCCCAAGTTTCCCCAATTCCAGTCCTCTACATCAGGAAGCAACTTTGTGAACAAAGAGCGGCCCCAGGATTCATCCTCAGGCATTGAGCTGAGGCACCCTTGCAATGCCTTGAGCAAAGGAATGATCCCACCGCCTTTCTCCCTGACCTCCATCAGCTGGTTGACCTTTGCCTCCAAGTCTTTGGCATTCTCTTGAGTGAACATCCATGAAACTGGTTCCAGTTTCCAATCCTCCACTGCTGAAAGAAGAGGCCTCACAAAGCAGAGCAAACCCTAAAGAACAGTTGAATTCAACAGACATGACAAGCGCATTATATGTACTGTATTATATATACAGTTATATACAGATACAATTCAATTTGGTAACGATTTTAAACATAGGGTTCCAGCTTCAAAACATGTGTGTTTTAATCCAGTGCATCTTGAATTGGTTGACTGACAACAAATGAATACACCATTGACATGACAATGAACTCGTGACTTGACAATGATTTGAGCAATGGCAATGACTTGATGGTACAACACAGCAGTCAGAATGATTTGGTTTGAGAACAATGAACTGGCCTGTACTGCTCCAATTCTTCCAATGGCTTGCGAAAGTACTCGGTCTGCTGTTCCAACCACGTTTGCAGTGAGTGCTCAAATGTCATAGTAAACCGCTGAATCCTCTCAGTTGTCTCAGGCACTACAGCCCGCAAGAAATCGAGCTTCATTGAATGAACCTTCAAGTAGACTGACAAGCTGCTTTGAAGAGACTCCTGCTCTGGCAGAATGGACTTCTCATTCAACTCATCTCCAAGCTTGGCAGCAACTCGCAGGGAGTGGACCATCTGAGAAGCTTTCTCTGGAGTTGGCTGTGGTAGGGCCAAGGCCTGGGTGATGGAGTCCACGGCCTTGGCAATCCCAAGGTCCTTCACAGCGGTCTTGCAAAGATCCTCAACACCAGCACAAAGCTTGGTCTGCAATCGGCTCACCATGCCACTTGCATGGCCAATGGTTTGGTGTTGGGCTTGCTCCTGACTGGAGAGCCGCATTGCTGGAGTCAGGTACTTCTGGACAACTCGCCACAGAGCCAATGCCTTCTCCACATCCTTCTTGTTTTCAGCAGAATGGAAGTCGTGACAAGATTGCCCGATGTGGAGAATCAAGCTGGCCACGTCTTTGGGCATCGACTTCTGAAAGTTCAGGTCCATCAAGGCTGCAGGGGGAGCATCACAACAAATGTGCAACAAATGCAATTTGCCATCTGTCATCATCCACGTGTTTTTACTGTACATAAAATGTGGAATGTCAATTGAGTTTGACTGATTTGATTTTGATTCACTAAGAATCTGAAATCACAATATCATGTGAGTCGAGTCAATCATGTCATAATCCATCAACAGCTCATCCTGTATTGACATGATCAATCAATGGTAAAGTATAGTATGGAAACCTTGAAGGAAACATGACTTCGGCCCACAAAACCACTGGGAGTGCCTGCAGTCATGTTCCGGAAGAAAATTGTCTCACTGGCAGCATTCTCCTCATCCTCGGAGGTGAAGACGAACTTACTGAGACCTTGCTGATCAGTAGACCACTGAGCAGCCAGGAATGTATTGAGCAGGGGCAATGCTGGAGGAAGGAGTGTAGCCTGTTCCAGCAAAGACTTCTTTGCATCCAGAAGTTGGGTGACCACAGAAGCTTGCTCCTGTGTCATCCCTTCCTTCCCTTCAAGAAGGTGGATCACGTCTTCCACACAGGCAAGCGCATTCCACCTCTCCATGTCTGGCTGACCTTTGGAAAGCATTGTAGCCTCCACGCAAGTCAACGCACTTGTCAAATCTGATGCCTGCAGCAAGGCGGCCTTCTCATCCAGGGCTGTCTTGGCTATGGCAGTTGCTTTTTGCCACAAGTTCCTTTGGAGGGGAAGCACCACATGACAATGACTTGACAATAACAACACAACAGTTTGCTGACAATCCACCTGGGGTCTTATATAAGCCCATGAGTTCATGAGTCTGTGAGCCTTCTGGTCTGATAAAAATAGACAACAGACTCAACCGACCCTACCCTGACAACCCTCCAGGATCCTGATGGCAGCATTGGACTTGATGACCAAGGACACACGTGCTGAAAGATTTGCAGAAGAAGCAACCACAATCTTCAGCCCCTGCTTCTCACCATTTGGGATATGAGCGTCTGAAGAGGCAATAGCACAAACCATGAAGCGCTGAAGGTCAATGAGGACCTTTGTCACAATCCCGGTCTGATTGACGAGGCCAGTCTCAATTGGGATCCAGGTCAAAGGAGCACTTGCTGGAATCGGGGTCCTGATATCAACACAGTCACATCACATCAATCAACACAGTAAAGAATATCACTTGACTCTGATCCATTACTTAGCAGACAATTGAGAAAACTCAAAACTCCAAAGTTCTCGAAAGATAGAACTGGTCTAAATTTAAATGAGTCATCGAGTCATCATATATATATATATAATATATTTATATATTATATAAGTATAAATTTATATATATAAATATAAATCCACAGCCTCTCCACCCAGCAACCTCCCAACCCCTGTTCATCCTGCAAATTTCTGGGAAGTACCACTGCTTGGGGATGGACTGCAGGATCGCCTCCAAGTTGGCAGACAATGAACGGAAGCGGTCCATGAAGTAACTCAAAGCTGCCTGCTGCACTTGTGTGATCACTCTGTCCACCTCGTCACCTTCCTTCCCTTTGCTCTTCAAGAAGTTGAGGCAAAACTTGCGGTGATGATCCTGCACTCCACATCCAACGGGCAAAAAGCTGTAGAAAAAGGTGGATTGCCCACCAGAGCTCAGCAAAGAATCACAAAGCTTCCTGCCAATGTCAGAAAGCAAGCTGACCATCTCCATGGGGCCCAATGACAAGCAAATGTCAGCAATCTCCTTTGCATTGCTCAAGTGGGTCTACATCTCTGATGAGGCCAGAGCAGATAGGAGGGACTCATCCATTGATAGGCGGTTCACCTCGTCACCCAATTGGACACCTACGTCTTTCACAGCCACGTGATTGCCTCCCAAAGCCTCACATTTAGAACTCAGCTCCAAGGCTTTGGCCATCCTTTGCTCTACGTCCTTTCCCTTGATTTGATGAGAACACATCAGCCAAGGTGTCACCTCCTTCAGAGACTTGAGACTGGCATTTGCTTTGTCCAAGAGAGCTGTTGGAGTCACTTTCTCAGTGACACTGGATCCAATGGACTTCTCAGACTTGGCGATGTCAGCTTGCGAAGCAGCTGAGGCAGGCATTGCTTCTGCCACAGGTGGAGTCTCCACGTCCTTTCCCTTGTCTGTCCTGGCTGGCCTTGCCTTAGCCTTGGCTTTGGAAGCAGCTTTGCCCTTCTTGGCCTTTGCTAGACCAACAGTAGATGATTCACTGGAGCAATCGGACTCAGAGGAGCTGTCAGAACTCTCTGACTTGCCATCAGCCGCTTCCTTCAGACTCTTGTCCATTGCCTCCTGGAAAGTGGGCATCGATTGTCAATGTGAATGTGGCAATGTGAATGTGAATCAGTGAATCTGATATATATTATTATATATAGACATAGATTAAACCAATATCAATGCGACAATGTGAAAAGAGAAGACTGAGCATAATGAGCTTGATTCTGATTGAACGCTTTTGACATGACATGAGGCAAGTGAGTGGGTGGCTGGCCTGGGTGACCGAGTTCACAGTCATGCCACCCTCCAGCTTGGCAAAGGCTTCAGCTTGGGATTCCTTGGAATCATGCTGTTGCTCTTTGACCTTCTCGGCTGCCATCCTCTTGCCGACGATCAGTGTCTTCTCCCCTTCAGAATGCTTATCAACTGCGACCCCTTCCACTCCAGCCTCATCCTCTCAGGGTTGTGATGAGGAAACAGTGGTTGGATGAGTCAAAAAAACGTGTTAGGGCATGACATGACTGAAATGACTGGCAGCAGCAGCAGCAGGTACAAGAAAGGGAGAAACTACCAGAAAAAAACACACACACTTCAAACTTCAAGCATAAGCAAACTGTTTGGAACCCTTGTCAAACTGTAAGGGCATGTTGAGCACATCTGTGATGTACTTGCGCTTCTGAGACTGGTTCTTGCAGCGTCGTTTGGCGTCTTGATCTGCAAACTTGTCAAAGTAGCATGGAATGCTGTACCAGGTCATCTCCTCAGGGCACACATCACATGTGTTTGTCCAGAAGTCCTATAGTATAATTCGAAAATCTATATTATATTATATTATTTTGTTTCAGTCATGAGTCGTGTGTCAGGTCATGTATTCACCTGTCAATGCCTTCAACTCAGTCATTTCTGAACCAAAGGGAAAAACAAATTGGTTGACTACCCTCTCCTTCCTCACGTCAATGTATGTTTCCTCCTTCTTGCGGCAAAAAAGGGTGTGATCCACCCGTTCATGTCTCGGTCGTGCTTTGGGGTTCTTGCTGAGCGCAGTGACATGGGTCTTTCTCAGTTGCAGAAACCTGCATTTGCACACACTGCATGCCCAAAGAACACAGCAGCTTGGAAAACACTTACCTTTACCCTTTTCAGGGCTGGCGACAAATATATAGACAAAACTAAACACAGCATGTGACATGTCCTGTCAAGCAACTTTTCCTTCAAGGGGTCGTTTTCCTGCATCCCATGGATCAACTCAGTGAGGGATAGGCCCTTAAAGCTTCCTCGATGGATGTACAGGCATTTCATACAACTGCCACCTTGACCAGCTCGCGATGATGTGACCAACATGCCACCGCAACCAGGAGGGACGTCCTGCAAAAGAAGCATTCCAACACCAGTGACATAGTGACATAGTGAGTGTTTGAGAAAGCAACTAAAAGACTCTCCAGAGAAAAAGAAAAGCAAAGCAGTAAGCACTTGATACCAAAGGACTTGACTTGACCTGATCTGACAAAATAGGGCTGAACTCGGAGTTCCCTCCCAGATCCCCCCAGTGTTTTTGTCCTGGTCTTGAGTTCCAAAAGTTTGATCGCAAAGGGAGCACTTCCCTTCATCTTCAGCTCCATCTGCTGAAGGCACTGTGTCATGCCCCGACATGGCCCTTCCAACAACAAGGAGGTGATATGAACTACCAATGACCTGTCAACTGACACAAAAAGCTTTGGAAGCGAAGAACAGCTCATGTGGTGTGGATACAAAGACTCAAGACTCAAGTGACAGTTGCAAACAGGAAATGTTCTGATGATGATTTGTCCATGAAGAAACCGACTAGTGACTTGTGACAGTGGAGGTCAACAGTTTGACAAGTCTCGACAGTTTGACTTGACATGAAAGAAGTTTCACAGTGAGTCAGTCTGTTGCTCCTGCTTGCGGTCGTCCTTTCTATTGTGTTCTGAATGCACTAAGAAGTCATATCAAAGAATGAATTTGCAGCGTGTGAAATCACACGCTCCAAAGCCCAAAGCAGCACGAATCTGATCTGTGCTGCAGCCCCAACAGGCAACTGGCGCACCACACCACCTTTCTAGAACAATTGAAGAAAACTAAAGAAGTCAATGAAATCGACATGGCAAATGAAGACATTGGCATGGCAAGGAGCGTTAGTTGCCTTCACATGTTCTACGGTCTATGCCTGGCCTATGATGGAATCATAGACTCCCACAAAAAGCAAGCCTGGAAACTGTCAGGCTCCAACACGTCTCACTTTCAAAGGTCGCAAGGCAACACCACCTCCATTTGAGGTCACACCAGAAGCACTGGCGTCAGCAGCGTCGTCATCAGAAACATCGGACCCACCCTCACTGGTCTCATTGGGTGAAGGAGTCGCCCAAATTTGGCTCTCATATGAGTCGATCCAGGCCCACCTGTCAAAGGGCTGCCAAGCACAGCATGCTCCCAGTTTTCATCGCAAGCCTCCTGGCCCGAGAAAGGGTCTCCCTCTCACGGTTCTTCCACAGGGTGTAGTCAAGCAAACAGGAGTCATGAAGCTTCTTGACTTTGGTCCTTGTCCTCCACTCACATGCCAGCTGGCAATCCAGGAACTTCTTCCCACACATGTTACATGGCCTGTGGGTTGATGCAGGAGGAGGCACACAGTAAATGCCAAAGAGACCGGTCTTGACATTTTCAAGCCTGGCACAATGATCATTGCAATCATTTGGTAGGACCACACTGACGTAATCATTGCTGCCTGCATCCTTGTACTCCTTGACATAGTTGCGGGTGGA